TTTGGAAGTCAGAGAGAGTATATCTCAAAAGAGCTATTAGATAACGAATATAAAAGTACTGTACATGAAAACTGGAAAACTAGAGTAGGTAACACAAACATGAGTCTGGTAAATCCGTCTATTAAGGTTCATTTCCCTTGATATGTTTATATAAAGAGGCAGCTTTACTTTTTCCCTCCAATTTAGAAGATAAAACTTATCAAGTTAAGGATCCATGTTTATCATAAGAAAAATAATAGCTTCATAGGTCTTTCCACACTTTCCCTAGTACATACCATTCATTGTACTCTACAGTGATCCTTTGAGTGGCCCATTGGTACTTAATCCTGAATTCAAATTCAGGATTTTATTTGACCCACATTATTGATGATAATTGTAGATGATAATAAGCTCCAGATTACTGATGATAATGAACAAATCTGTTGCTTAAAATCTAACCTAGATTGCTGTTAAATGCTGTAGATTTTAGCTTTCTAGTGAGGCAACATTTCTTGAAACATGTTCTAGTCTTTCTCTATTTAATATGACCTCGATACAGATTAACATCAACTAGTTTTTTGAACCAATAACTTCCATTCATATTATACATTTGCTGACGTTCTTGTGGAATTTGAAAAACCCATTTACATAGTGGGAATTAAAGAGTTCATACATGCATTGATCTGAGAATTTAAGGGATAAAGAATTCTATCCCAGGTTTTAGCATGGTATTTCTGAAAAGCAATCTCTAATCTTTTATGAAATGCACCATTTTGATGGTAGGTTCATAATTAAAAATTACAGAAATAGTCTTAGTGTGTCTCCCTGTGTATTAAATACTAATATGAAAAGAACTAACTTTTTTATTATTCATCATATACGTAACAATCTCTTATGTGAAACAAATACAATGCCTGAACTCGAATAGACAAGGTAGACACAAAATAAACATAATCTGAATTTGCAACATATATTGAAAATATTAAAATTAAGCTAACATAATCACATGAAAGCTATGTAGTTGATTGCAAATACCACTTAGGTTGAAAACGCTCTTGCACGCTCTTGAATTGCTTAATTCAATACTGTTCTTCAGTCTGTAGCTTTATATATTAGAATTGAAGTTTTGGTTCTTATATCTTAAACCTTATTCACATATTTTAAAGAAAACATATTTTCCTCTTCAGTGCATTCTCCCCTCACCCCCCACCCACATACACATAAAATTGGTACAAGGTTGAAATACTGCAGTAGCTAAGAAATTTAAATATAAACATATCGTATCAACACTTCATTCAATAATACAATACTGTATTTAAATATCCTATAACACAACAGACAGATCACTAATAAATTTTTATTAATAGAATGTTAACATAAAGGATAGGTAGAGAGAGAGAAAGGTCTTAAGAGAGTAAAGCATAGAAAGGAGGAAGGGAAGGAAGTAATGGAAGTAGGAAGAAAAACAACAATAGAAGTCAGGGAAGAAAAATATATTTTCAAGTGCCAAATATCCAAATAATGTTGTAAATCATTGCATACCTGGCACTTGTAATTGCTGTTAAAAAGCCCAAAACCAAGAGCATAAAATAAATTTCAGGAATTATTTTATCATAAGAACTAATTGTTGAATGCAGATTTCATGCTTTAAAAACTATGTGCATATAATGTATTAAGTGAAAGCACAATCATGGAAGCTCACATTGCAAGGAAGTTAAAATCTCTAAGATAGATACATTTTGTGATTATGTTGTAATTTTCTTGCTCTTTTTAATTAAGGAAGTGCTTGGTCATTGTGGCTCTGATTTTTTTTAAACCGGATTTGCTTTATTATTTTGATTCTCCAAAATTAAGAATGAAAATTACCCAGCAAAAAGTAGTGAATCTTGGCTTTTCAAAATAAGCATGTTCTTAATTCACAGGAAAGCTTCTCATAATAGATTAAAAAATAAAAATTAAGAAAGCATACATTGTTATTATCTTTAGAGTATTTATAATTCTAATATGCTACAAATACATTGGAATAATTATAATTTGAAAAGGAGCTTGTAAAATTTGATGACACTACAGGAGTCCAAACATAGAGAACCAAAAAGCAATATGATTAAAAGGTAATTCTTTTGTACAAGTATAAATAGACATGCACAAAGCAACAACACAATGAGCTTCATAATTTCTGTGTATTACATTTTAATATGTTCATGTAAATTACCTAAATTAAAATCCTTAAGTACATGTTGGTCATTCAGCTTTAAAGATGTTTTCCTTGTTCATATTTACTTAATATTTTAGTCATCTTTCCCATGACAATTTATAACTAAAACTCCATCTAATGACTTTTTGCATGCATTAGATTTTATTGTTGCTTTACAACTATTTTAAACATCCTGAACAGTAATTACTTGTATGACTATATGTGAGGATATTATAATATTGTTTATATAAAAATAAATGACTACTTTATCAGACCCATTCAATCCTCTCTTAATTTCATCTTGGGTAGGTAAAATGTAGTTTTTTTGACCTCTCTTACTTAGCCTCATCTTTTGTTCTAGTCACTCATCTTTTTTGCACGCCTCCCAAACTAATTACCCTAAGGTACCATTTTCACAGTCTTAGTAACCAGATGCCAATTTATCCCACCTGAGGGGAGGGCTCATAAGATCTTGAATTCTATCACAATATCATTATAATATAGTAATTCATGAAGTTTTAAAATTATACTGTAGAGTCATAGAATGACAGATATGTAAGGAACTTTAGAGACAATTTAGTGCAATAAAATCCTCAAATTTTACAAATGACGAGTATGATGAAAGAGTTTAAATATCTTGATCTTGGTCATACAGCTAATTTAAGTCGGAAAAAAACTTAGAATCTCTGAGGAGGGTTCAGTTCTCCCAGTACTTTTCTGTATGCATGCCTCTTTGTGCATGCGTACCAAAATAGTTCTATTTCTTCTCTTTTCTTTCTTTCTTTCTTTCTTTCTTTCTTTCTTTCTTTCTTTCTTT